GGGGCCGCCCTATGCCTCAGGGCAGATAAAAGCCGGCCAGTCCCAGTCCCAAGTTGCGGGAGTAACATTGTTGGTTGCTAGTTCCTGCCTGAACCCTGTCCAGCTTTCCTGCCTGAGCTCCTGACCTGCCCTGGCCTCCTGCTTGCATTCCTGTTCCTGACTTCACCCGACTCCCTGCCCTGCACCCAGCTTCAGCTACTACAGACTGCCTCCATGTTGCACCTTTGACCAGTGGCGTAGCATGGGGGGTGCAGGGGGGGCCGGCTGCACCGGCCGCAACATCTGGGGGGGGCTCGCACTCACAGCTCTCTGCCCCTACCTGGCTCACTCAGGGTTAGGGGGGCGCAAATTACTTGCCTTGCCCTGGGTGCTGACAACCCACGCTACGCCACTGCCTTTGACCACAGACCGGACTTGGATCTTGCCTCTCAGGTAACCCACGGGACCAGCACACCCTCTGCAGGGAGGTGGGACCGATTTGGATGTCCGCCCCCGCCACTTAAAGGATCCAAATGGTTTCCAGAGAGTGGTAGGGGATGCTTTATCCCATGTTGATGGCCTTTCAGCTGATTCCCTGGTGGCCTGCTGGAAAGTGGAGTTAACCAGGGCTATTGACTATCTGGCTCCAAAGGAGAGGGAGGCACCAGCTGGACTCATCTCTCCCTCTCTTCTGCTTCAGCTTCTGATCCTTGACTGCTCTCTGCCACACACTCTTCCCGCTCACTAAGCCCTGTTGCCTCTTCTCAATCTTCTCCCCGCCTCCCTGTCTCTGAGCCTTCTTCCTTTCAGGGTCCCCCCAGCAGGTTCCTTCCACCATTCCTCTGCGTCCAACCAGTCCTTGGCAGGAGCATTGAAACACGCACTCCCCCTCCTGCTCCGTTTGAAGTGGTATGGTCCAGGAAGGGCTGCACCACTCATTCTGCCGATGGTGTAACTCTGCTCAAGGTCTCTTCTGCATGGGCACTGCATCTGGGGCGGAGGATGGCTTCTGGGGCAGGGGCACTAAGGGACCCTCCTCCACTGGCAAGGCTGTCTGGAACGGGGCAGTTTTGTGCTGCGGCCGTTGGGGGAAGGAGCACAGCTCAATGGCAGAGCACCTGCTTGGCATGTAGAATGTCCCTCGTTCAAGCTTTAGGATCTCCAGGTAGGCCTGTGTCCCCTACCTGACCTGAAACCTTGGAAATCCGCTGCATGCCCCCCTGCCGTGCAAAGAGAGCTGCGCTAAATGGATTCCATGTTCTGACTTGGCAGACCCAACACCTGTACAGTGGTGCCTCGCAAGACGAAATTAATCTGTTCCGCGAGTCTCTTCGTCTTGCGGTTTTTTTGTGTTGCGAAGCACGGCTATTAGCGGCTTAGCGGCTATTAGCGGCTTAGCAGCTATTAGCGGCTTAGCGGCTATTAACGGCTTAGCGGCTTAGCGGCTATTAACGGCTTAGCGGCTTTAAGAAAAAGGAAACAAACTCGCAAGAACTCGCAAGACGTTTCGTCTTGTGAAGCAAGCCCATAGGGAAATTAGTCTTGCGGAACGACTCAAAAAACGCAAAACCCTTTCGTCTAGCGAGTTTTTCGTCTTGCGAGGCATTCGTCTTTCAGGGCACCACTGTAGTCTTACTCGCTGATGCAAAAACTCATGGGATCTGGCTCTTAAATAAGTAGCGAGCTGAGCTCGGTTGCCAGGCAATTCCTCACATTTCTGTATGGTTTTACAGCCGGACTAAAGTTTGGTCTCGGTGGTGTAATAGAGCTGAACAATCCCACGTTGCTTGGGAAATTGCAGCTATCAATTTTGTTTGGTGGTATGTGAAATACGCGCCCCTTTGAGTCTGGCCTTCCCCCCCTAGACAAAAGTCTTCACCGAAAGAGAGGGTCGGAATCCCAGGTCCCCTGCAACCCTTTCAAGGTTTCTTAAGACCTCCCCATTTTGGGGAAAATCATGTGATAGCCTTTTCTTTTTCGTGCACCTTTTCATCTCTGCAACCAAATCTCCCATGTGCACAGGTGAGTCCTTCACTCCGAGAGAGCTGGTTCATTTATTAGGTTTTTAAACTTGCTGTGCTTCATAAAACCCATAGAAGGAAATGATGATAAATGAAAAGTATCCCCAAATTGCAATCACTTCCTTCTTCATTCACTGGCGGTATGTGCAGAGAGGGAAAAGTGTGCATAACCTAGCCAAGGTGGTGGTTTTCAAACACATATCAAATAAGCAAACCCCCCCTCAGCCGGTAGAGCATGAGACTCTTAATCTCAGGGTCGCAGGCTGCTGGCTCTGCAAGCAAGGGGTGGGCTAACTGGCCTCCTGAGCCCCGCAGGGGTGCCGCAGAAAGAATGGAGTTGGTCAAGGGAGCCGTGGACCCCAGAAGGTTGAAAACCTCTGAATTAGTGAATCTGCAAGCATTTGTTGTTGTTTAGTCATTTAGTGTGTCGTTTAGTTCTTAACCCGAGGTACCACTGTACAATATACTCCCATAGAGACTACCTTATACTGCCTTCAGGGCTCCTCTCTCAGACAGCGTTCTGAGGCTGATGGGTCAAGAACAGGCAGTGTCAGCCAAGGATTCTTCATTCCTGCATTGCCAGGAGATGGACAGGGCGACCCTTCCAGCTCTACAATTCTCTGATTTGTCTGATCCTCTTTTGAAGTCATTCTGGTCGGGGCCTCCTGTGGGAGTGAGTTCCATAGGGCCATGTGAATAAGTCTTTCCTTTTATCTGGTGTGTGTGTGTGTGTGTGAGAGAGAGAGAGAGAGAGAGAGAGAGAGACCTTTCTGAAATGAACCCTGGTGCCATGTGCATTATTCTCTCAACCCAAATGTGTTGCCTACATCTGCTTGTCCTGGAGGACAAGGGACATGAGTGGCGCTGTGGTCTAAATCACTGAGCCTCTTGGGCTTGCCGATCAGAAGGTCGGTGGTTCAAATTCCCGTGACGGGGTGAGCTCCCATTGCTCTGTCCCAGCTCCTGCCAACCTAGCAGTTTGAAAATACGCCAGTGCAAGTAGATAAATAGGTACCGCTCCGGTGGGAAGGTAAATGGCATTTCCGTGCGTTGCTCTGGTTCGCCAGAAGCGACTTAGTCCTGCTGGCCACATTACCTGGAAGCTGTTTGCAGACAAACACCGGCTCCCTCGGCCAGTAAAGCGAGATGAGCGCCGCAACCCCAAAGTCATCTGCGACTGGACCCAACGGTCAGGGGTACCTTTTCCTTTACTATACCACTTTAAAGGGACGCGGGTGGCTCTGTGGTCCAAACCACTGAGCCTCTTGGGCTTGCAGATCAGAAGGTTGGCGGTTCGAATCCCCACTACGGGGTGAGCTCCCATTGCTCTGTCCCAGCTCCTGCCAACCTTGCAGTTTGAAAGCACGCCAGTGCAAGTAGATAAATAGGTACCGCTGTGGTGGGGAGGTAAACGGCGTTTCTGCGCACACTGGTTTCTGTCACGGTGTTCTGTTGTGCCAGAAGCGGTTTAGTCATGCTGGCCACATGACCTGGAAAGCTGTCTGTGGACAAACGCCGGCTCCCTCAGCCTGAAAGTGTGATGAGTGCCACAACCCCAGAGTCACCTTTGCCTGGACTTAACCGTCCGGGGTCCTTTACCTTTACCTTTCAGTCTTGAAGGATGAAGCCTCAAGGCTGTCAGGCACCTACGGCCAAAGTTCAACTCTGTCTTTTTGGGTGCATGGTGTGTCTCTCTCTGTGTGTGTGCACAAGGAATTCCTCTGCCAGGAACCTCTGACCCCAACCTTCCTGACTCTGAGAAGTCACCTTAGGGGACACCCCAGCTGCTGCCCCCTTGAAACACGATCCCACCCGCAGGCCCGAGGCTTCACAGCCCCCCAACCCGGTTGCTGCATCCCCCCCCATTCCCGGGGTCTTTGGGCTGGGATTAAGGGTGGTTTCCTTTTCAGCGAGGGTGTTGAATGTCAGACACAAGCTGCTATGACATTTGGGAAGCTTCCTGGGCCTCGCAGCCACCCCCAGCAACCATGCGGGCAATGCCGCTGGCCGATGGAACCCATCTTGCCCCAGGATTCTTGATATGAAACTCGAGCTGCCGGGGGCGGGGGAGTCCTGGGTGTGTGCTGGAGGGGTATAAACAAGTTCGGGCAGCCCAAGTCGGGTCACTGCGTTCAGCTGTCCGACTCTCCCCACCCTGTTCTGCAGGATGGTCTCTCGGCTTGAGATTCCTAGGCCGAAAGACGCCCAGAAGACCCTCAGGGGAGGGGGAGACCTTCCGAGAGATGCAAGGGGGGGTCATAGAATTGTAGAGCTGGAAGGGACCACAAGGGTCATCTAGTCCAACCCATGCAAGGCAGGAACCTTTTGTGAACCGCGCTGAGATCTTTTGACAAAGGTATATCATTATCATCATTTGTCAAGCATGGGATTCAAACCCAAAACCCTGAGATTGAGTCTCACGCTGTACCGACAGAGTCAATCATTATATTTATGAATATCCTGCCTTTTTATTATTATATTTATTAATATCCTGACTTCTCAAGGCAGTGTACAGGGAAAATAGAAACAGCTAACAACATATTTTGAAAGCAATCATTACTTTACTTGTTTTTTGATTGATTGATTGATTGATTGATTGTATAGTATTTGCAGACTGCCTTTCATCTCAGGGCGGTTCACTGAATAAAACTGCAAAATACATAATAAAAACAAGGACAAGACAAGACAATAACCGATATGCTCACATACAGATCAGTACAATAAAAAGATCACAGCACCAGGCCTCCTGGAACAAGGAAGTCTTCAGCTGCCTCCGAAAGCACAACAAGGAGGGAGCAGGTCTAATTTCTCCATGAAGAGGTTGCAAAGTTGTTCAGGAGGAGCCACCACCAAGAAGGCTCTCTCGCACCAAGCATGCCTGTCAGTGTGGTGAGACCAAGAGAAAGTCAAGTGAGGGAGCTCCCGGCAAGCTCGTAGTGTCATAGGATTATAAAGTTGAAAGGGACTATAGGGGTCATCTAGTCCAATGCAGGAATATTTTGCACAACATGAGAATCGAACCCATGACCTTGAGATTAAAAGTCTCATGCTGTACTGACTGAGCTATCCACTCTCCTGGCCATCCAACTTCTGCTGACTGTCTGACTCAATCTAAATCTACTAGAAGACTAGAAACTTTATCCCTTTATTTTTTGGAAATGCATACCAGGGTGCCTAATTGCACACGTAAAGGCTGAAAAGAGAGGCGGTAACAAACAACAACAACACACTCTCTCCGTCAACGGGAGTTTTCACCCGCCTCCGTTCTCCTGGTGTTCCCTCCTCAGGTTCACACAAGGCAAGCTGCAGCCTTGGAACCGCAAATGGTTCCTTTGCCCAAGGATTTGTGTCTGTGTGTTTTACATACACACACACACACACACACCCCACTGGAGATCAACACTGGATTTTTAAATTTTAACATATTTTTATGAATCTGCAACATCGCACAAAGGAGCTTTAGCATAACAATACGGATACAGCGCAGAGAAGTTTAAAGTTTAAATTCACAAGCAGACTAAATGCATCCACTTAGCAGCAACCGTCAGGGGCTGCTTAGCCAGGAAAGTGTCTCTGCAACAAATCAGACCAAAAAAGTTTTCTGGAGAAGCTGCAGTTGTGTTACACTTCCCTGACCAGCTGTGTAATGTTAAGGAGTGGTCACACATATCTGTAAAATTGTTTGTCCTGCTTTTGCCCCTCCTTGCTTTATGGCGTTGAGTAACTTTTAAAGCTAGGGCAAGAGACCGGACTTTGCAGCACCATCCTTGCCCTAAGAACTGCGTGGTGTGTCTCCAATGATGGGTCCTCTCTAGCTGAGCATCAAATACAAGGTCAGGTATTTGCATGGCAGCGGGTTGGACTAGATGACCCTCGGGTCCCCTCTATTAAAATTCTGTCACAATAAGCCGCTCATGTTTTCCAGAAATATAAAGAGAAGGGCTAAACCAGGGTTAAGGTATCTGGTTAACAATGATGGTGATCTCCTGAAACACTGACACACACGATACGATACAATATCTTTATTGTCATTGTCCCATACAGAACAATGAAATTGAAAAATCTATATATCACACACACACACACACAGAGAGAGAGAGAGAGAGAGAGAGAGAGAGAGAGAGAGGGGTTTCAGTGTTTGGGACTTTTTAGTTTAGAGAAAATGTAAGTAAGAGGCAACCTGATAGAAGTTTGTGAAATGCATGGCAGGGAGAAAGTGAACTGAAAAAAATGTTGAAATATACATTTATAAAGAAACCGGAGGCCTTTCTTCTTGGAATAACAGGTTTGGAATTGCCCAAGAAAGATATTAAATTATTTTTGTATGCCACAACTGCTGCTCGAATTCTACTAGCTAAAAAGTGGAAAACCCAAGAATTACCAACGGTGGAAGAATGGCAGATGAAGATGATGGACTTTTCGGAGCTAGCCGACCTAACTAGAAGAATCCGCGACCAGAAGGAGGAGGAGTATCAGGAAGAATGGACAAAATTTAATGATTATTTAGCTAAATTTGTTAAGTTAAACTAATTGGAAATAGCTTGCAGGTAACAGATTGGCTTAGAAATTTATATAAGTTAAGTGACGTTTAACATGTACAGTTTTGAACTGAAAAGATATAAGGATGTTAATGGACTAAGTTAAGTTTATAAGAATTAGGATTTTGAAAGCTCTTATAAGGATATGCATGGAAATTCAACCAAGGGCAAGCGAGCAAGTCACTTAACAATGTTAATAAGTGTAATTTTAATAAGGTTATGATTTATGTTTCTTTGTTTGTGTGTTTTGTTTGTTTATAATTTTGTGAAAATTAATTTTAAAAAAAAAGAAGAACATTTTCTCTCCCTCTCTCATAACACTCGTGGAAAGCCAACGAAGCTGATTGTTAGAGGATTAAGATCAGGTTGTTGTTGTTTAGTCGTTTAGTCGTGTCCGACTCTTCGTGACCCCCTGGACCAGAGCACGCCAGGCACTCCTGTCTTCCACTGCCTCCCGCAGTTTGGTCAAACTCATGCTTGTAGCTTCGAGAACACTGTCCAACCATCTCGTCCTCCGTTATCCCCTTCTCCTTGTGCCCTCCATCTTTCCCAACATCAGGGTCTTTTCCAGGGAGTCTCCTCTTCTCATGAGGTGGCCAAAGTCTTGGAGCCTCAGCTTCAGGATCTGTCCTTCCAGTGAGCACTCAGGGCTGATTTCCTTCAGAATGGAGAGGTTGGATCTTCTTGCAGTCCATGGGACTCTCAAGAGTCTCCTCCAGCACCAGAATTCAAAAGCATCAGATCAGGTAAAAGGAAGCATTTCTTTTTACAGGACAGCCACATAATAATATATAATAATAATTTATTACTTATACCCTGCCCATCTGGCTGGGCTTCCCCAGCCACTCTGGGTGGCTTCCAACGCAATATTAAAATACAGCAATGCATCAAACATTAAAAGCTTCCCTAAAGAGGGCTGCCTTCAGATGTCTTCTAAGTCTGGCAGTTGTTGTTCTCTTTGACATCTGGTGGGAGGGAGTTCCACAGGGCGGCCACCACCACCGAGAAGGCCCTCTGCCTGGTTCCCTGTAACATGGGGGGCACATTGCCAATCTTCTGCAGTGTGGCTGGATCTGTGCGACGTAACATACCAGTGACCTACCAGTTGAAGCATCATCTCTCTCTCTCTCTCTCTCTCTCTCTCTCTCTCTCTCTCTCTCTGTCTCACCAAGACTGATTTCGCTGGGCGTTTCAAACACTTTGACTTCCATGCATTTTTTATTTTTATTTTTAATGCCAGCAGTCACCTCTCCGGGAAAAGTGTCCCTTCTGCCACCTCTTCCTTTGCTGCTTGTCTTGGCAAGATGTTATCCCTGGGGGAACCGAATCTCCTTTCGCACTGGCTCTAAAAATGAGACCATGACGCAAAGGCCCTGTACCATCCCGGGAGCTCCAAATGGTTGTCACTCTACCTGCTGAGATGACTGGCCCTTGGCTTCAGGGTGAAGTGGGAGGTGTGTGTGTGTGTGTGTGTCGAGATGCCAGCAGCAGCAGCAGCAGTTGGTTCCCAGAAACACCCCCCTCCCAGCCCTCCACTGTATCTTAGGCATGCTGTCTAAAAATACCGCACCCCACTGCCCCCTGGTCCAGCCCCTCTTGCTCTCTGGCCCTGCTAGAGGAGTGACGAGGGATCGCTGGAACCGTGCCCACCCGTAATCCTTTAATGTCCCATTTCCATGCAGGGAGACAGCTGTTAATATGGATGGGGGGGGAGGGCGAGGGCAGGGGGCTGACGTGTGTTCCTGTCCTGGGCAAGGGAGCTGCTAATCTTGTGGCATGGCAGTGGCACCAAGAAAAGACATTCCAGACTGAGGATCCCCAGGAGCTCTGTGTGTGTGTGTGTGTGTGTGTGTGTGTGTGTGTGTGTGTGTTGGGGTTTTTTGGATTCCCCACCCCCACCTCTTTGCCCAATTAAGTGTACTGTCCCCTTCTATGTTTCCAAACCTGATGGGGAAACTGTATGTAAGTCAGACTGTGTAATAAGTCAATTTGCAAACAAGAGAGAGAGAGAGAGAGAGAGAGAGAGAGAGAGACAGACAGACGGAAGGGACTGCAAGGGCGATATATAAATTCAGATGATGATGATGATGATAATAATAATAATAATAATAATAATAATAATAATCTTCCCTTGCAATGCAGGACTCTTTTGGCCAACATGGGGTGCAAACCCACGACCTTGAGTCTCATGCTTTGTCAGCCGAGTTATATTCAGTGTTATGAATATATAGATTCATAAATATATCTATCTATATATACTGTAAGGGATGCTAGTGGCGCTGTGGGTTAAACCACAGAGCCTAGGACTTGCTGATCAGAAGGTCGGCGGATCGAATCCCCACAACGGGGTGAGCTCCCGTTGCTCGGTCCCTGCTCCTGCCAACCTAGCAGTTCGAAAGCACGTCAAAGTGCAAGTAGATAAATAGGTACCGCTCTGGTGGGAAGGTAAACGGCGTTTCTGTGTGCTGCTCTGGTTCGCCAGAAGTGGCTTAGTCATGCTGGCCACATGACCCGGAAGCTGTACGCCGGCTCCCTCGGCCAATAAAGCGAGATGAGCGCCGCAACCTCAGAGTCAGCCACGACTGGACCTAATGGTCAGGGGTCCCTTTACCTTATATATACGGTATAAAGAACTATTGGCCTTTGCATTTTTAGCAACATGCTGGAAGGATTGCTTTAAGGAGATGCTCACACCTCGTGAGTATGGGGGAAATCTCTGCCTAGTTCTGCCCTTGCCAACCAGGGCACCTGCCAGATGTTTTGGGAGGCCGCTGCCACCAGCCCCAGCTCAGAGCCCCCCCCCTCCGCTTTTGCGCTGCATAATTTTTTGACACACTGAATGGAGTTTCACCAGAGCGGGAGAGAGGACTAGGGACTGTCCCGGCAGGGTTTGGAGCTGGGCCTTCATGGCAGCAAAGGAGAATGTCACTCGTAATCTGAACTTTGGATCTTCGAAAGTAGATATTATGTGACGTATACACTAAGGTTTAATCTGGAGACGGCCTGAGCAATGTTTTTTCTACTCTTGCCTTTCCAAACGTCTCTGCCTATTTTATTGGGGCGATTAATCTCCTAGTCCCTGTTTTGCTTTGTGAAGTATTGGCTTATTCTGTTCTATTTTTTTGTTTGTTGAAAACGTCTTTATGGTGCCTTTCATTCTATCCAAGTTAAAGCTGCTGTACAGCACAAGTTGGTGTGAGGAACTAAATATTTTGGAGGTGTTTGGGGCCAGAAGTTTCTGATGGACCTCAGGCAGGGGCTTGTGTCTGAGTGTGCTCTTTACTGCAATCTGCCCCCCCCCCAAAGATACCACAACAGCCCGAGGTTGCTCTGGGTTCAGTCCAAGAGGAGATAGTGAATAAACTATGGAACTCCCTCCCACAGCTGATGATCTGAGCCACAGTCAGCTCCAGGTCTTGTTTTTGCTGACTGTATAGAGCTTCTCCATCTTTGGCTGCAGAGAATATAATAATCTGATTTCGATGTTGCCCATCTGGTGATGTCCATGTGTAGAGTCGTCTCTTGTGTTGTTGGA